TCCTTATTTTGGCTATTCCGCTGCGAAGTGAAGGCAAGCAATCGTGAACTCATACATACCCCTAGCAAGCATTTAAATGTCATGATCAATAAATATCAGATTCGCCAGGTATTTTTGGATTTTTTAACTAGTTGAGAAACAATCTTATCAGGTAAGAATATTTGAGATACATTAGTCGCGCGTTAGTAAGCTTACTTTTCATGTAAAAAAATTGCAACAACAATTTTAGAAATATACACCATAGAAAAATTTCGTCACGTAGTCAATTTAAACTGTCAAATGTCTCTCGGCGATGCAGTTTGCCTAAAGTGTGTTGCTAAAGTTTTCATAGGCATATAGCAACTAAAACGTGAAACTAAAACATGCCAGCGTAAATACACCCGCCAGCGCCACACTTCTGGTGCTTGTACTACACCCTCCAGCGCTGTAGACATTGCGTGCGTGTACCGATGTTTCCATGAGAGGCCATTAATATTGTCTAATATTGACATCGGCATATTTTACTTGGTAATTAATGCTACGTGATGCGGATATATCAGTCTTCTGTTATGGCTGACGTCCTAGAGATGCTGCTATTTGCATGTGATTTGCTGATACAGCACATTTTAAACTGTAGTAAATCAGACCCAAAGACGTGGCCTGTCGACTGCAGACCGCACCCACTTAGATTTCTACAGACTAAATATTGATGTTCTGTGATTGATGTGCTCACCTTATACATAGTTTAATTATATAGAGCTAACAAAACATTACTGATTACAACTTTAGATTATTTACCAAGAAATATATTTTTATTATATAATTTATTGTAACGCGCGCACATACACACACGCACACACGCCACAACACACACACACACACACACACCACAACAACCACACACACACACACACACACGCACGCACGCACGCACACACGCACACACACATTGTATGTGTTGTATGTTGCATGTATTGCATGTTATGTAAACTGAGAACAGTCTATAAAGTATAGAAGTATAGACACGTACTAAAACTGACATTTCGTCGTGTGTATTCGTAATATCAACCACCATCATGATATTCATCATCGTCATCATCATCATCATCGTCGTCGTCGTCATCGGCAGTGACAGCAGTAGGAGCCACTATCAATAATATAAAATTACTTTTCGAGACGCGTGCTATATTTACGAGTTCACACGTGCGCCACACGCACACGCACACACCACACGCGCTCGCATGCACACAACACGCACACACACACACACACACACACACACACACACACACACACACACACACACACACACACACAACACACACACACCACACACAGCAGACACACAGCACACAAGCGCGCGCGCTGGCACGCGCACGCACACACGTACACACGCAACGCACCAACACACACGCGCTCACACGCATCGCCACGCACGCACGGCACGTCACGCACACGCGCTCACCGTTCACGCTCAGCGCACCCCACACAGCCACACGCGCGCGCACACACACACACATTGCACGCACACAACACGCACCTACCGACACCACACAAGCACACACACCACGCGCGCGCCGCGCGGCTGCGCCACAGCAGACGCACACGCACATCCCACACACTACCACACATACACACAGGCCGCCCGGAGCCGCCCCCGGCGACTGCAGCGCACGCACGCACGCACGCACGCACGCACGCACGCACGCACACGAACGACACACACGTACGCACGCACGCCCGCATGCATGCACGCACGCACGCACGCACACACACATGCACACGTACATGCACCCGCACACGCACACGCACGCGCGCACACACACACACGCACACGCACGCCACACGCACGCACGCACAGCGCCCGCGCGCACACACACACAACACACGCCACACACACACGTACGCACACACACACGCACACACGCACACACACATAGACACACACAGACTGTAGCTCTGTTATCTGTTCCGTGCGAATAAATTCGCATGGTGTGTCCGCTCAATTATCGCATGCGGGTGCGAATATTTTCGCCGCGATTTTCGCTGCGGATATGGACGTGCGAATAAATTCGCATGGTGTGTCCGCTCAATTATCGCATGCGGGTGCGAATATTTTCGCCGCGATTTTCGCTGCGGATATGGACGTGCGAATAAATTCGCATGGTGTGTCCGCTCAATTATCGCATGCGGGTGCGAATATTTTCGCCGCGATTTTCGCTGCGGATATGGACGTGCGAATAAATTCGCATGGTGTGTCCGCTCAATTATCGCATGCGGGTGCGAATATTTTCGCCGCGATTTTCGCTGCGGATATGGACGTGCGAATAAATTCGCATGGTGTGTCCCAGGCTTATAACGCCTTACAGACACTATCGTGTGGCATGCGCGCTCCGTGGCCGATGTAAGATGGCGCTTACCTCCAATGAAGGCGTCGTAGGCAACTCCGACGATACACACGCTGTTGTTGGCTGCAGCTGCCACCTCGCCTGCGCACCGCGTTCCATGTCTGAAAGCAATGCAACGAACGTTCAGTACCCGCGTGATGCAATCGCTGCTGTCTCGAGTTCATCGACTTTAATTCATTGCGAACAGCGCCATAATTATGGCTGAAGGGGTCGTTGTCGTATCAGGTACTACATATAAGTACCCGAGGTACATATATGTATACACAAAGTGTACCAGACTTGTACTACAGAAGTTAGCTCTAGTAATATAGCCCGCGGATAGCTGCCGCAGGCTATAGTATTAGAGCTATACAGAAGTGTACCATAACCCTAACCCTAACCCTAAACATACCTCATATAAAAATATAAACATAATACTAAACAACCTAAAACTACCTCGGGTACATATATGTAGTACCTGATACGACAACGACCCTTCGTGCATAATTATGCGGTCAAATAATATCAGCATATGATTGTTAAATGATATAGTCGAGGGAGCGCATCTCGGGTATTCGTGACACGCTACTTCCTCAGTGCGCTGTCACAGCACGGTCAAACATTTGGGTCAGGTCTGTCAGTGTTCCGCCACTGATTTCTCACTGCATTGCCACGGCGATGTGAATCTCTTGTTCAGTTTTGTTTTGAGTCAGTCGCCACTTTCTTGTGTCACTGCTAATACTCACGTCACAGCTTTGTCACCGTTTTGTCAACGGTGTTAGTATTCTGTCGCAATTGTTTCACACCACTTAGTCAGTGTTCGTTCTGTCACACTTTTATCAGAAATTAAGTGATCATGAGTCAGACACGAATAAATATGGCTATTAATGAAAAATATACAATCACCCACAGATTCACTCCAAATTTCACAGCAAGTGACATCACAGCCACCGATTACATACATAGTACATTTATATTTTTTATCTTTGTTATTTTTCATGTTATTTAATTAATTAATTAAATTTAATTAAATTAGTAAAATAATTATTTTCTATATGAATTTATTTTTATTAACAACGCTGAACGCCGATGTATTTTCTGGCGAGATAATGCAATTCAAGGTCATTCTTCCGCGATTAATCAACCGATTACGATAACACCTTGCCGCCACCGGCTGCAAGGTAAACGTATAGAAAACTTCGCCCAAACGCAACGCTAATCCACCAGCGTGTGTTCACTACTGATTTCCACCACAGGCACTTGAAGCGTTTCAATAAAATATAATGCTAACTAAATACGAAATCTATTTACTTAGTACAAAATTCTTAATGTTTCTATATACTATAGCCAGGCCTACTCTCTTTCACCTACGGCTACACCGCCGATAGTTTCCAACCATTGAAAATTACCGGCTGCCATTGCTCTCGCGGCGCGACTGTTGCACGCTTGCACTAATATAGAGAGTCTCTATAGCACTCTCTATATTAGTGCAAGCGTGCAACAGTCGCGCCGCGAGAAGAGAGTAGGCCTATAGTATAGAAACATTAAGAATTTTGTACTAAGTAAATAGATTTCGTATTTAGTTAGCATTATATTTTATTGAAACGCTTCAAGTGCCTGTGATTTCCACGGCTGCTATTGTGCTTCATTCGCATATCGTATCTAATCTGCCTGCGCCCATCCCCTCGAGAAGAAGAAAAATAACGGTCCGACGTATTTTCGCAGACGCGCACTCTGCGTAAGTCTTGCGTCGATGGCTCGTCATCCTCATTTCCATGATATAGTGATTCATATGAGATTTGAGAAATCGCCAGCGATCGTTTCGCGAAAGCCAAACACGCGCGCGCGTGCACTCGGCTATCGCAGCCCCGCGCAGTCTCTGCGCGCGCGTGCTTCGCCGCATCTCATATACAGACTCGTTCGCATACATATACAGACACGAATTTCTTCGCGCCGATATCCATTAAGCGGCTAGTAGTAAACTTCGCGCCCTGTCGTCCACTTACAGCCCAAGCCGACACTATACGGTTAAAGGCTCAGAATGCGCATCCAAACGCTAATTTCTCCAGTACTAGACTAGCAAATACTTCGTGTCATGCATAATCACACTACCTTATGACAAAATAAACTCTAGTTCCTTCCATTTCACTGCGCGTTGTCTTAAAACCCACAAGAAAGAGGTGAGAAAACTGGCATCTGGCGCAAAACGCCGACTGTTTCCAAACAAAATAGCCTCGAAGTGGTGACGTGACGTCACATGTTTTTATCTTTGCCACGCCCGTACCGCTGTACCGCGGCACCGCTGCACGGTTGCTGGAGATGGGAAACCTGTCAACACATCGGAGAATTTCAACAACATTGGAGGTATTTTCAAAATACCTTTTATAAGACAACGCGCAGTGAAATGGGAGGAACTAGAGTTTATTTTGCCATAAGGTAGTATGATTATGCATGACACGAAGTATTTGCTAGTCTAGTACTGGAGAAATTAGCGTTTGGATGCGCATTGTGCCCCAGCCTTTAATGAAATAACATTACGAATACATAAAATGGTTAAATAACGAAAACATGTGCGTTTCGAAGATACGCTCGTGAATAGTAACAGATATACAAAATGGCAAGATAACAATAAGATGAACTCACACACATACATGGAAGAATAAATCATAGCTCTTTCTGGCGAGATTTGAAACGTTTTATTGGCGGTAATGACCAGCATATATATATATATATATATATATATATCATCACGCCATTAACAATATTAGTCACTTTCAATGTGTGCACCTCGACGCTGTTACGTTGAGTGTGATGAAAGTAGACTACTAGTTTTTATTACGCGCTCACGCTTTCCTTCTCTCTTTACGCCAGCTGCCAGTAGCTGAAGCTAAACATCTCCGACTTCCAACTCGGGCATGAATGCTGACTGAACACATGTCAGTTCGCATCGCTGCGGAGGACTAGCCGAGGTGAAAGAGCAGCAAATTGCACAGACGCCACGCAATCGACCAACTAAGACGAACAACAAAAGTCCCGCGCGACGCTGAGAGAATACATGAGTGCGTCGTCATTGTGCACGCGTGCGTGCGTGCATGTGGGCGTGCGTGCGTGCGGGCGCGCGGGTGGGCGCGCGTGCGTGTGTGCGTGCGTGTGGGCGTGCGAGCGTGCGTGCGGGCGCGCGTGTGGGCGTGTGTGTGTGTGTGTACAGTATATGGGGCTGCACGCGCTGTAAAAGCATGTTTGTTACATCTAAGAAGCCACTGCGTAGAAGGAGTTGATGACTTTGGATGCACGCACGAACATAATCATACGTAACACACGCACTTATATGCAGGTATATGCACGCGCCATGGCATGCACCAGCCTTCCGTTAAACGCTTCCCTCCGGCCTTCCATTAAACGCTTCTCTCTAGCCCTCCATAATCCATTAAACGCTTCTTTCCAGCCTTCCACTAAACCCTTCTCTCCAGCCTTCCATTAAACGCTTCTCTCCTGCCTTCCATTAAACCCTTCTAACTTACATTTTGTGAAAAAGTCGACATAATTTTTTTTTACTTTTACGGTGACGTAATCACTTTAACTACTACACAACCAATACGACAATGCGCATGATATGAGGCCCATGTCCCATGCCATGATCTGCGCTAAAGCGGGGGACACACCATGCGAATTTATTCGCACGTCCGCAGCAATTGTAAAATCGCAGCGAAATTCGCATGGTGTGTCCGCTCATGCACGCGCAGGCGAATTTCATCCGCACCGAAATTCGCAGCGATCAAACATGTTTGATATTTTCGCTGCGGACGTGCGAATAAATTCGCATTGGGTGTCCCATTGTTGGTGCGGCCGATTGTTATAATGCAGCGAATCATTGATCAGTATGCTAATCACCAAGAGTAGATAATATAACACATTTATATATATATGTTATTATCTACTCTTGTAATCACGTAATGACTGTTGGAGCCATGGTGGAGCCGTGTGGCGCCAGTAGATCGCGTGTGGTAAGTACGCTGCGGACGTGCGAATAAATTCGCATGGTGTGTCCGCTCAATTATCGCATGCGGGTGCGAATATTTTCGCCGCGATTTTCGCTGCGGATATGGACGTGCAATATATACATTAGAAGTACATAATATAGGTTTACAGTCTGGTCATTAGTTACGGCATCAATAAACACAGCAGGTGTGTGTACGTGTGAATGAAGTGCGCGGCTGCGAACCCCTCCTACTGCGGCGCATGAGTTTGCTTTATTAATTGCCCCATGTAGCCGGTGTGATTAAGATGACGAAACTGCCAGAACTAAAGTGCATCTGATATCAGCTTCCCTGGAAAAAAGGGAAGCCTGCTTCCAGATCGATCTTCCCGCACCGCGTCGTCGCGAGAGTTAACACGGGCAGAAACAGCAACGGCGGCGGCAACGGCGGCGGCAACGGCGGCGGCAACGGCGGCAAATGCAGGCCGGATGGACGGATGGATACAGATATGAAAGTTGCTAAACACGCGCGACTTCTCTCGTCGATGATCTTTCGTCGACATCAGCAAAAAGAGAGATGTAGTCGCGTCAACGCTGATGCTGTAAGTGTGTAATAGCTGCTGTGTATGTAGTACACGCTGTAGTGACACGCTACTCGTAATGAGCAGTACACCGTGCCAACGCCAGCTCAGTATATGCGGCGGTACTATACTACTATAGTAGTACAGACGATAAACGTAATGTCCTCCTCCCATACGCATCCACCTTCGCGCCACTACAGCATCCTCTAGTGTACGCGGCCGTGCTTCTCCACATAAACGACCTACACGCAAAAAATTGTCAATTATTTTGTGTGTTCCGTCTGAGCACGCTAGAGTCCTAGACTGTAGTGGGAGTCTGTCAGATGTCACATTGAATTTTTCATTTCATAATTTCGTCCATCGCGCGCCGTTGAGACACGCGCTTCAAATTGCTAGCGTCACTATAGACTGGTGCGCCGCGTCGTTTAACCCGCACAGAGCATGATCAATCAGTAGAGTGGCGAAAAAAGTGATGCGATGGTGTGAGCTGGAATGTGGCGGCCGCCTTAGGCGACGAGCAGGCGCTTTTACCCTCGTGGTTTACCCGGAGTTTAGGGACTCGAAC